TGGACTTTGTTCTGGCCAGTTGAGCAACAGACTGATGAAGTGAAGCACTGTGACACCTTGCAGCATCCTGGGACGTCTGAGTCAGCAGTTGGACCTCTGGGTGAGGGGCAACCATGGACTATAGGCTGGTCAGTGGAGCCCATGAAAAGTGCGACAGTGCTAAATCACTGCAATCTGAATGAGCTCAAACTAAAATTTACCAAAGCCTAGTCCCGAAATAGGATCTGCAGATCCCAGTTTTCAAAATGCAAGGAGTGCCAGCTGAATTTATGTGGCATTTTACAAAGGCTCTCAAACTGAACATGCATAACAACTGCAAATTTTGATTTGATTTGTGAAGGTTGCCATGGTCTCCTGAACTCAGGGCTTATTGACAGGAATGTGAGTCACGGTGCCTGGCTGTGAGCTGCCTGAAAGGAAATCCCTGAGCTGGGGCTCAGTGCAGAGTGGGGCTTGCTCAGAGCCTGTGGGGCATCTGGTCTGTTTGGTCACATTCTATAAACCACCAGCAACAACTTTGCTAAGCATACCCCTCCGGGGTACAAGGTGGGAGATGACCCAAATGACAGGAACCTGGAGGACCCAGGACAGAGACAGCTGCTGCCTCTCTAAGGTGGTGCAGACAGCCTATCTGGAACAAACATGGTGTTGTTTTGGTGACCCTGGCAAAGTTCTGAGTCCCCAGGATGGAGACTGATGGAGTGGTTCAGCATGTTCCTCTCTCCGGACACTCATACCCAAGGTCCTGTGCTGCTTTGGACTGGTATCTGACATTTCAGATGGTGAAAAAAAAAATAGAAGTCAGAAATAAAAATATGCATTTTTAAATGCTCCATGAGATTTTATCCATTTGTTTTGCCATGAGGTTTCCTCATCCTGCAGCCCAGGCGAGGAGGAAGCAGCCCAATCTGGTGATCTGCAGTCTCCCCACTTTAGTCAATATGGTCGTGCTGTGACTCATGCTCTGGCTCTCACGTGAGCCATCAGCAGACAGGATGGTTTCAGGAGACTTTGACCGAGTAGGGTTGTGCAATCCAGCCAAGCCCTCCTCAAACACTCATTTGCAGAGAAATATTGCTCAGCGATCACTCATTTACAAGGAAAGGATCCCAGTGTGAGAGAGAGGAAGCTGCTGCGATGAAAAAACCAAAAAGCGCAAGGGCCCACTTAATGCACAGAGCTGATTTAACACCACTTGCCACCTAATGATACAAGCTGTCAATAATTAACTGAAAGAATTACATTGGCAGGTCATGTATAACCTAAAATAAAAGCCACTGAAACCAAAGGCAGTTTTTGTGCTGAATTCAAGAGCTTTTCAGCCTCATCGTGCCTCACTCACCAACTATAGTCCGAAACCTGGCACAAGACTGGCTGTTTTCCACAGGCTCATGGAGTGTCTCAGGCTGGCAGGAACCCCTGGAGGTCACCAGTCCAACCCCTGTTCAAGTGGGGCTGCCTCCCAAGGTTGCTCAGGGCCTTATTCTTTCAGTGCTGCAGGTCTCCATGGCTGGAGATCATACAGCCTTGCTGAGGCCCTGGCCCAGCAGTTCAACCCCTTGCACTGAGAAAAATGGTTTCCTCCTGCTGTGAAGACTCTGCCTGTCCCACCAGAGTCCCTCCTGGGGTGGGTGTTGCTACTGTGAGATACTGGGCAGCTCTGCCTCCAGTGCATGGGATCACAGACTTGGAATATTCCTGTTGTCTGCTGCCTCTTTTGGGGTATCATGTCCCTAGGAAGGAAGCAGCCTCTGAGTCAGAATTGCCTGAGCTCTTGGCATGAAATGCTGCTTAGTCAGGACTTCAGCTTAAGTGTCCTTTCCCTCAGCTGCTCCTTTTCTCACGGGGCAGAGGCTGAACACCAGAACAAGAGGCCTTCAGCCTCCTGCCCAGAGATGGGCACAGCTGCTCAGCATTCACCTCATGCCGTCCTGGTGAGAGAATATGCAACTTGGACAGGCCTAAAACAACAATACTTACTGGAATCTCTGAAAAAGTGCATTATCTGCAATGCCGGGTGAACTGCTTATTGCTTTATTGCTAGTAGAATGGGCAGTTACACACCCTCCGAACTAAACTGTGTCCATGTAAGTTTGCATTCTACAGAAACAGTCAGCATACGGCGTACTATGGAGGCAGTACATGCTTCCTGCCCTCCAGGTCCTCCCAAAGGAAAGGCAGTGAACTGCTGTGTGCAGCAGGATGTTGCATAGAAACACACAGCCAATTTGGCACAGAACAGCTGGGAAAAGGGCCTTGAACTCTATTCCTAGCAATAAGGAGGAGGAGGACGGGAAGCCCTGGCTGGTGCAAATGATATTTTTTCCAGGGGTTGCGGATATGCACAGCTATTCTGCTCAGGAAAGGTTTGTGTAAACAACACGGCCTCAACTTCACCCTGTTCTGCCTGGTGATGACAATTTGCTGCGAACCTGACAGTTCTCCATATTTTGCAAAAAGTTGTTCCTGTTCTCCGGCATTCTAGGAATGGCGGCCTGAGCAGCTGCGTGCCTGCAGGAAGAGCGAGTGTGTCTGCACTTGCCCAATTCACTGCAAGATATTCTGCTGTAAGACTGACCTTGCACAATCCCCAAATTATTTTCTTATCGGGTTCCATTACCATCCCAAAATAAACAACCTGCCATGCAGGCACTAAACCAGTGTGATGCTATTTGGAAGCCTTAAAACAAATTCATTGATCAGTGCAGGTGAAGGCTGTTGCTTTTTTGTTTCTGCGGAGCTGTTTCCTGAGTCCCTGCAAAGGAAATGGGTCTCTGGCTACAAACTGGAAATTCAATAGCACATTAATGCTTTTTGTGGGGCATGGATAAGAACGTGCTCCACTCAAGGCAGTTTTGCGGATGCAGTGACATTTTCAGCAGTCTGCCTCTCATTTCTGCACACCTCTGAGGGAAGGTCCCTTCCAACCCTGACAACTCTATGATTCTATGACTCTATCATTCTGTGAAGTGGTAACAACACCACAGGTGGTATTTTAGGACAGTGAAGCTCTGGAAATTGCTCTTGCAGGAGGAAAACAGAACAAAATCCCACTCCCCATTTCAGAGTTGCACTCTCAGAGCTACAGGGCTCTGCAGGAGGGCCAGGACACATGATGGTAGTGAGGTACAAGTACACCCACCTGAGTGTCAGTAACGTGAAAATTAAAATGTGCGATAGCAGCTGATTTTTCATCTGATAATTACTTTGAGGCCTACTTAGTATAGCCAGAGGCTCTGGGCTGTAAAGCGAGGTTATCTGTGAAGAATCTGGAGTGACTTTTTCCCTCTGCATTATAGATATGAAAATCCAAAAGACCAAAATCCTCTTCTCAACATTTCAGAAGAAAACAGGTATTTCTAAATGGTGAAGAAAATTGTTAAAACTATGAACTGATGATGCTAAGCACTTGATAAGCAGGCCAAATTACAGGGCAGAGAACAACTCTAAAAGGAGATGTGTAAAACTTAGCTGATTTAATGCACATACTCAAACAGGGCTTTGGAGGAGTAATTTCTCCTGTTCTTTCAGTGACTGGAGGCTCTTGGTACACTCTTCTGTGATAGCAGCTGTCTTGTGTGACCAGCCCCTCCTCCTGCCATCAGGGAAAAACACCTGCAACACATTCAGGAACTCAATAATCTCATACTCTCTTATTTTTAGATTCAGGTTTCTCCTTCACAGCTGAAAAGAAACAAGAAGCAACTCAGAAGCAGCACAAACCTAAACTTTCAACAACCTCCAAGGTGCAAAATGTAATTTCTTAATTCAGTAAAGCATAGTTCCACATACTTCTACATTTTCTCATCCATTCTGACACTAATTGTGCTCTGGGATTTCACTCACTCACCCAGAAGACAGCTGAAAGCAATAACGTTCCCAGCTTTAACTGGCTCTTCTTTACTTAAAAGCAGTTTCAGTTACCACTTCTCTACCTATTCTCCTTTGAGTAGAGCTATCTAGAACTCTTCCCCATCCTGGGGATGTTGGTTTAATTTTTGCTAAAGCTTCTCCTTTTCCTAGGGAGACTATGTAATTTTACATATTTTAACACACTTTGGAAAGAATCCTGAGGTATTTCTGTATCCTGTCTCTGCGTGTGAAAAGGTAGGGACAACCTGAAACTATTCTGAATCACCTCATAACCTCTAATTTTCCTCCTGCTCATCTTCTACTGAGTCACCTCTAAGGAGGGGTGCCTTCAAATGTGATTTTTGGCTTTGGATATTTTGTCTTGTTGTTGCTTTTGGGCTGGCATTTTAAGGTTTGTTTTTGTTCATTCCAGGTTCTTGTTCTGGGGTTATTTTCTTGAGATGACCTGCCTTATAAAAGGCTTACAGGGGGACAGATAACCTTTTGAAGCAGTATCATAAAATTAACTCTCATTCATTTTTAAAGACACAAGATGTCTAACAGTGTATTGCCCTGTAGGCTGATGAAACTCATCTTTATTCATAGGCAATTCCTGTACTCTGACTTCTCACAGGTTTGATGTATATATATTTAATTGTAGCATACTGGTGCTAAATTTACAGCATTAGATATTTGTTTTTCTTTGGGAAACGGTGTTTTCTACCCACAAAGATGTTTACTGTTCACAGTTTAACTCTGGTGTTCACATATGACTCCTGAATGCAACTTATTTCTTTAAACTGTTAAGGAGTTAAAGCTTAAAGAACAAGCTTTGGTTTCTTCACTCTTTAACCAATCTACAAACTAGTCACTGTAATGAAATTCATTAACGCTTTTAAAAAGCTAATAGTTAGCAATAGTATAAACCTTTTTTTTTCCAGAATTAACAACTCATTGTTTACATTTAGCATAGATTTAGCAATCACTGATAGGTGGCTGGTAGTGTTCATCCAGAGATTAAGAGCACTGCACTCTGAAACAAATCATCCATCTTGAAAGCTCCAGGTGGTCTGCCGAAAGGCCTCTGTCAAACCAGCAGACTGTCAGCAGGCAGGGATGCAGGGGAGAGCACTGGCAAGTGCTGTATTGCTCCCAGCACAGTTTCAGTAGAGTGGTTCACTCTTCATGTTGCATGCATGTAAAAGTCTGGATTATTACAGTTATGAAAAGTTATCACTTGTAGTAAGGATTGTATTAGCGACTTGTTTCCATCAATACCCAAGGCACACTTGATCCATGGCCAGGCATATTCTGCAAGAGACAACAATAACGATGAGATATTTTTCAGGGGGCTTCACTCTCAAAACTATTTCCCAAACTGACTGCAGTGCGATGTGACCAGAAGTGGGGACAGCACTTCTTCACCTTCTGGGTTGCCTGTGCAGGCTGCCTAAACTACCAGACCCTACCCCTCTGCTTTCCTCTCTTCCTTTTCTTCCTCTCACATGACTCACAGACTAGGATCCCATTCTCTACCACAAACTCCCAAGACAGAATTTCAACACTATGCTTCTTTTGCACCCACTGCACCACCATAAGGGTCAGTCTGCACCATTACTTCCCTGCTTTCCTAACACCCTTGCACTAGTCATGCTATTGTATGTTATGCAGTGCAGCAGGATCTCCTGACTGGCTATAATTTCCCCTGAGGGTCTTCAACAAGGAAATTAAAGGGTTATGGGGAAAAGGATCATTAAGAGTGGGAGGGGACTAATGATTATATGTTTTCCAAAATATACATTCATAACTTCAGACAGAGAAATTTACTGACCAAATGGTCAACAGAGCAGAAGGAATGAGAAGCTTTTAGCATTAGGCTTCATCTGCTTACTAACTTCTGCTTTTTTTAGCCACGGGTAAAACTACACAGTGTACCTGGGAACATTGTTACCTGTCAATGGGGTATCCTCCTTCACAAACGTTGACCAAGGCATACAGCTGTCTCAGTGCATACTCGTACTGAAATAAACAATTGTTGTTAATTTCAGGGATGAAGAGCAGGTATTGTTTACCCAAACCGAACTGTGAAATCAATTTAGAGATGCTATTAATACTACTTCTGTGCACCTTGCTCTTTGAACTTCACTAGGTAAATTCAGCTGTTGCTGCACAATGGCCCCTTAGGCAAGGTTCACCCATTTAACCAATTTAATTTGGAAAAAAACCACAAAAAACCCCAAACAAACCCAAAACACTAAAGAGGAACTAAAAGTTTTAACAAAGCAATGTGACCTCCTGATAGCCTGGTTGATTAGAAGCTCCAACTGAAGGAAGTGCATCAGCTTTTGATCTGTATACAGTACTGAAGTCACAGAATCACAGAATGTTAGGGGTTGGAAGGGACCTCTGAAGATCATCTAGTCCAACCTTCATCCCAGCATACCTAACCACTACACCATAGCCGCAAGTGCTAGATTTACTTTTTTTTTAAACACCTCCAGGGTTGGTGACTCCACCACCTCCCTGGGCAGCCTGTTCCAGTGCCTCACCACTCGTTCAGTAAAGAACTTCCTCCGAATATCCAATCTAAACTTACCCTGACGCAACTTGAGGCCATTTCCCCTTGTCCTGTCATTAGTAATTAGAGAGAAGAGACCAGCACCAGCCTCACTACAGCCTCCTTTTAGGTAGTTGTAGAGGGCAATAAGGTCTCCTCTCAGCCTCCTCTTCTCCAGACTAAACAAACCCAGTTCCCTCAGCCGCTCTTCATAGGGCATGTTTTCCAGTCTTGGTCAACTGCCAGGTAATCCAACTGCTTTCTGCTAAAATCAACTAATTTGCTGTTGACTCATCTTACCATACACCTCTGCCTGCTTAGGTTATCTTGCCTGACATCAGGATTGGGTTTTCTGGAATGGGAACCGACCTCCTTATTTTTGTCTAAACAGTGCTTAGCACAACAGGATTTGGTCCTCAAATGGAATCCCAGGAAGAGCAGACAGTAATAAAACCCCTAAACAAAAAAGTGGCTCTTGGGAATTCAGCAAGACCATGGAAGTAGCAGCCAGGCTATTGCAAGGAACTGTGCAAGACGCAATCATAATACAGAAATCTGAATGCACCAGGATTAGGAATTCACAGTGTATTTCTGTTTTGCCAGTAGAGATTCTTCAATGAGAAATACAACATGACATTTAATATGAGGATTTCTGAGGAAGGAGTTGATAAAGGGACAGCACTAGCTAGTAAAAATTAAGGATTATTTTTGGTTTTTATTAAAAGTATTTTTAGTAATCTTGTTTATTTACAGGTATAGTGGAAGTGGTTTCCTGCTTCCAAAAATGTTACTTACCCTTTCTCCAAAACTAAGCTGTATGAGTGCCCCCAAGCTATCTTTTTAAGAAAAGCTGATTTTGCAGACATGCTCATAGCTACTGTTCTTGTTTTACTGGTATATTTATCAGGTTATATCTAATGCTTGACCTACCAAGGGTAAGTGCCAGTTGAAGCAGTGAGCTTTGAAGTGGTTCGCTGCTGACTGGTAGCAGTCATAATTGCTGAGGGTCAATCTGCCCAACAGAATTTTGTTGGTCTGTTCTTCTGATCCTGTAATTGAGGTGATAATCTTCCGCATGGATTCCTGGATAAATTCTTTCACCTGCATGTAAAACAACAGCTTAAAACACACTCTATCTAAACCTGCTTGAAGACTTTGAATTAAATTTTCTTGAAACTTCCCTCAACTATTTGGCTCTTAAAGGAACCCAATTTCACCATTTATTTTTAGTATAGTCTTTTGGACCGGTCTCTTAACACACAAATAGAAACTAAGGAGACAAAGTCAGACTCTTAGCACCCAAAATCACTCACAAAACCCTAGTCCTGTCAGAAGAAAGAAAACACCACCACCACCGCTACTGACTACCATTCTGCAGGAGTTATTTCATTTGGGACACCTCAGTTCTACTGAGATGAGAATTTTTTTAATACCAAAGAATAAGTCCTTGTAACAAAAATCCCTACAGATGCAGATGTGGAATTTCCTGGCAATAAAAGCTGTGAGACTGACTTTTGCATTTGTTTACATTTGCCTAGATAATCACTACTGAATGTGCCTTGTGGAAAAGAGCCCTAAATTCTAAATTAAGAGCAATTTTGTTGCAATTTGCAAAAACTGGAAGCAATCCCATTGGCTTCAGTGATATTACTTGGGCCATTGCTTATGACGGTAACAAACCTGATGTGACGAATTGTTCAATTTTAAGTGTTTTCTTTTGCTTACCTCCAGGTGTGCTTTCATCTCTGCAGCAATCTTCTTAGCCTCATAAATATCATTGGTAGACATCAGCCTACGTTTCATGATTGCAAGGGGCACATCAGGACTAGGTGTTAGGTCGTAGTGTTCTACTGGTGGCAGAGAAATGGGGATAGCTTTCTTCCCCTTGCCCTGAAACTGCATCACTTTCATGGAGGAAATGCTCTAAAGGTTAGAAAGCAAACAAATGGAAATTGTCAATCCCCTCCAGTAGGCAATCTGTCTTTGCTATGCAAACCTAATTCTCTAAACTTGCTTTATTAGAGAAAATAAAGGAGATCATACAATTGCGTTTGTGTGCATGCTGGGGTTTTTTTATTACGAGATCAAGGATGCCAAAAATCAG